GACTTATACATAGTGGGTGGAGTTTGAAAAAAATAATATTTTTACATATTTAACTTGAAAACTTAAAACATAATTATTATTTTGTATTTATTTCATCTTTATAATGGAGTACTAAGTATTGATATTTAAATATTACAAAGAACAATAAAATAAAATTATCAATTTCATTATTTATTACTTATTAAAAAAATATATTAGTCAAACATAAGCAAGTATAAATATAAATAGGATCGGAGGAGAATAGTAACTTTATGCTACTTCATGTTGATGGATTATTATGTCTTTTAAAAATTAAATTATTCATTTAACATTTAATGTATTAAAATGTAAACTATAAATATCTTGAAATTGAAAAGTTTAGCTTGAAAATTTAAAGAAGTTGTTAAAATACATGTATCTAAACTATTTAAATTAACTAGGATTAATTATTTATATGATAATCCCATGTATCCGATTTTTCTTGTTTTTACCTGTTTTGGACAAATTTTATATTTCGTGTCTCCTCCTAAATTAGCCTATTAAAACTTATGATGATTCGTCCTAATTTTAACTTATAAATGCATTTGACTTTAAACCACTTTGACAATGACACGTTCGTTGACATGCCTGCTTCAACGTGTTTTTTTTTTAAAAAAATTAAAAATTTATTTCTTTTGTTCTACTTTAATTTAATTAGTGTATAATTTACTCTTATTATATAAGAGACAGTTTGTGCTGAAGCAGGCACGTCTCCGTCGACGTGCCTGCTTCAACGTGTTTTTTTAAAAAAAATTAAAAATTTCTTTCTTTTGTTCTACTTTAATTTAATTAGTGTATAATTTTTTTTAAAATTATGGAATCCGTTTTAGATATGACTTTCAGTTTTAAATTCAAGAATTCACGCTGAAGCATGCACTGTCTTCGTCAACGTGACTGCTTCAGCCAATTTCGGAAATTTCTTTCAATTTTTTTTTTACTTCTTTTGTTAATTAGTCAAATAAATTAATAATTAATTATATTAAATATATATAACAAAATTATATAAAAATTATAATAAAATGTCTACATAAATATTTAACGTAGTATAATTGGAGTTAGACTTTACTTAAACTCACGTATACTTTGACACTAGATGCATGTTGATAAGTATGTGGATATGTTTGAACTTGATAATATGAAATATGATGCTTGAGTGCATGAGTGGATTGGATACTATAGAGCTGATATGGTACATGAATGAAGCTAATCATCTTTATAATTGAGTACTAAGTATTGATATTTAAATATTATAAAGAACAGTAAAATAAAATTATCAATTTAATTATTTATTACTTATTAAAAAACATATTTAGTCAAACATAAGCAAGTAAATATAAATAGGATCGGAGGAGAGTAGTAACTATGCTACTTCATGTTGATGGATTCTTATGTCTTTTAAGAAATTACATTATTCATTTAACATTTAATGTATTAAAATGTAAACTATAAGTATCTTAAAATTTAAAAGTTTAGCTTGAAAATTTAAAGAAGTTGTTAAAATGAATGTATCTAAACTATTTAAATTAACTAGGATTAATTCTTTAATGATAATCCATGTATCCAATTTTTTTTGTTTTTACCATTTTTGGACAAAATTTATTTTTCGTGTCTCCTCCTAAATTAGACTATTAAAACTTAAGATAATTCGTCTTAATTTTAACTTATAAATGCATTTGACTTTAAGACGTGTCTGCTTCAGCGTGTTTTTTTTTAAAAAAATAATTTTATTTCTTTTGTTCTACTTTAATTTAATTAGTGTATAATTATCTTATTATATAAGAGACCGTTTGTGCTGAAGCAGGCACGTCACCATCGACGTGCTTGCTTCGGCGTGTTTTTTTTAAAAAAATTATTATTTCTTTTGTTCTACTTTAATTTAATTAGTGTATAATTTTTTTAAAATTATGGAATCCGTTTTAGCTATGACTTTTAGTTTAAAATTCAAGACTTCGCGCTAAAGCATGCCCGTCTCCATCAACGTGCCTGCTTCAGCAAATTTCGGAAATTTCTTTCAAAAAAAATTACTTCTTTTGTTAATTAGTCAAATAAATTAATAATTAATTATATTAAATATATATAACAAAATTATTTAAAATTATAATAAAATGTCTACATAAATATTTAACGTAGTATAATTGGAGTTAGACTTTACGTAAGCTCACGTATACTTTGACACTAAATGCTTGTTGATAAGTATGTGGATATGTTTGAAGTTGATAATATGAAATATGATGCTTGAGTGCATGAGTGGATTGGATACTATAGAGTAGAACCACACTGATATAGTACATGAACGAAGCTAATCCCCTATAGATCATGGTTATTAGGCATACATAAGACCCCTAATGTTGTGTGAGTTCATGATGCATTAGCTATTAAATGACTCTATGACCTATTATAGATATGGTTGATTTTGTGGTGACTATACTTAAATACTGTCCGTTGATGTCTTGTGCTAAAGTTTAACTTACGTGTTGTTTGTTTCTAATTTGAGTCGGCCTATAATGTCTATCAATACATAATGACTTGTATTGATATTGGCTTGTACTCTTCTTTTAATTTATTGAATGTAGATCATGTTCTAAAAGTTCTTTCGAGACCCCAATTCTAGTGTAGTCAGCAGATTTCGATTAACACGACCAACCATAGACCATGAGAGATTAACAATCTTCTCTTCGGGGTCAATGACATCCTTGTTACCATGATAAAGTCCAAATTAATGTCTGAATCATCAAGATTCAAATCAGATATCTTCTCTATCTATATATTGTCATCATTTGAACGAGAATGAAAGCTCTCATGTAGAGAGATTTAAAAAAAATATTGTTCTTCAAATTGAAGGCATCTGTCAAGTTTAATTAATATTTTTGAAAAAAAATTTACAACTTTGAATGAAAATCTAAATAAAGTTTAATAAAATTTATAAATAATTGAACAATAAATACGAAATTTGTCAATTGAGTAAAATTTGTGGACAAACTTAACAATATGCGAAATGGAAGCAGTCTCAAAACATCCTCTTAACCAAACAATATTAATCGATTCATGAAATTTATGAACAATTTAACAAGATATATCGGTAGAATAAAGATAATATCAAAAGTAGGCGTTTGGCCATGCGATACTATATCACGATATGGAATAATCATTTGGACATGTGATTTCACGCTGATTCCATCTCATGATTTCATATCATGAGATGGAATACCATATTCTCCAAAAATCATTTATGGGAATTTCATATCATGATTTGGGATTTTTTAAATACAAAAGTTGACCCACAAGTTTATATTTTGTTAAAACAATCTCATATTTATATCTACTAACCATTTATTTCATACGTAAATAAACTTAATAATCACATCATTACTTTTTAAAATTTATTATTTTCACCAACATAAAATTTATTATTGCTTTAAATTTGGTGAATATAAATGATAAAATAGGAATTGATTTGGCGAATATAAATAAGAACGGAGGGAGTAATACTTTTTTGGTTTTTCGTAATAAAAAAACTTCTCTTTCGTCTACCTATGGAAATGTTTAAAGCAATTTAATATGAAAAAGGACAAAATTGGTGATGTATGTTTGATAATCATTACTTCCAATATGTTTGATTTTAGCACGAAATTAATGTACTGAAAATGTGTAATTGCACATAAGTAAAACAAGGCATGAACCATATGATATTGACACACAAGTGAAAATTGTCATAACTTTTACAGTGTTACATAATTATTTGCGAGAATACCAAATGAGTGATGAAATAGTTATGGTCTATTATCATGTAACTATAGTTGTGAATGATATTGACCAACAAATGGCTCAAAGTAACAATGTTGGTTCGTCTTCTCGGTCATATGATCGAAAAATGCAAGTTCAACGTGAGAAAATTGTTCATACTATGTGGGAGGATATATTAAATACTAGTACACTACAATTTATGCTCAATATTTTTTAGTGAATTAAAGTTTGATCAATTAAAGTTAGATGACACCGTTAATTAAGTGGAGAACAAATAGATTTGTAATAATTTATTATGCGATTTTATAATTTTTTGTTATTTGATAAGATTGAATAAACAATTGAGGCTATTTTAATAGTTTTACAACTTATGAGATTCTTATGTTTATGAGAAAAATAAAAAAACACAAAAATTTCATATTGCATGTCCAAACAAAACTCCAACTTCACGGCATGATTTCATATTATGATATAATATCATGATTTCATATCGCATGGTCAAACGTGCCTAAAACTATGTCCCATCCAACATAATTTGTGAATAAGATAAGATTTCTCAATCAAATAAAACTTATAACAATTTAACCAAATAAACAGAGTGAAAATAATATAATCTCTATCCCCTTTTGCATGATATGTTTCCACCAACTCCCTTTCTTGTTTTTTTTTTCTTGTCTTGATAGTATATAGTTTTCACTTTTTTAATGATGTCAATCAATAATAGGGCAGTCACAACCCCACCAATCAAGTTGCCCCAAACTGCTGTTTCAAAAACCACTTCTTGCAACTTGCAACTCTTGTGGGGCCAAACCACACCTCAACCATACCTACGTTCCAGAACTTTCTTATAAAGAACCTTCTCCTCATCCTTCCAATTTCGAAACTACTTATTATTAAAAAATTGGATTACATATATTATTCTCTCTTGATCCGTGACATACTTTTCTTTTTGGTCTGTCTTAAAAAGTATAACACATTTTCTCAAATATTTAATAATAATATCAATATCTTATCTATGTTAGATGACTAGATCTATCACACATATAAAATGTAATTTTCTATTTAAATTTTCATGTCCAATTAAACTACGTACATAAATTGAAACGGAGAAAATAATAAATAAAAAATTGCATAGGAGGAAGATGCTCACACCCCAAATGTCTAGAAGTCTAGAACCTTCCACTTAAACAATATTTTATTAGTACTATCTTTTTATTATTATTATTTCTTAGCAACTCAATAGGTGGAATTGCTGACTCTTCTTTTCTATTAATAGCCTTTTAGCACTTACTTCCAAAGCTTCTTTATCCATGGTGTTCAGAGCAATTTATTCACTAAAATAACTCAACTTCTTAACTGCATAAACTACCTTACCCAAAAGAGAAACTTTCCATTTCCAAAATCCAAAATCCAAACTTTTTTCTTCCTAAAAATACATATATTTTCCCCTGTTTCTTGATGATGAATCAATTGTATTCCGTTAAAGAGGAGTTCCCGGGGTCAAGTTCTGGTGGGGGTGAGCCCCCACCGTTGACACCACAACCAATGGAAGGGCTTCATGACATTGGTCCACCACCATTCCTTACAAAGACATATGAAATGGTGGATGATTCAACTATAGATCATGTTGTTTCTTGGAACAGAGGAGGTCAAAGCTTCGTAGTCTGGGATCCTCATGCCTTTTCGACTACACTACTTCCCAGATTCTTCAAACACAACAATTTCTCGAGCTTTGTCAGACAGCTAAATACTTATGTAAGTATATATATAACTTCGTCAAAAATCAATTAACTCCTCCTCTAATACATTTTTTTTTTCAAGTGGGAAACTTTCGTTCATATATACTTACTTGCTCCTGATTGCTAAATCTTTGTGAACACACAAGTGAACAAGGCTATTAGTAGGAAGGAGAATCTCAAAAATAAATAAAATCCCACTTGGAGTATTAATGTGATGATATATGGATGCAACTTAACTTTTTAGAATTGTGTTTTTTTTTTATTATTAATTTCAGACGAATTAAGATCTGGTGATGTTCCTCTGATGAATCCTTCAAGTTCTGGTGGTTGGTATAACATATTAAAATATTCATCGTGCTGCGGACCCAAAAAAAAAAAAAAGCACTAGTGTCAAGAATTGTTTGCTAAGATGGATCTTGGAAAAATTTGGAAGATGATGATACTAAGCTGTAGATGGGATTTGATTGTTGCAGGGATTTAGAAAGATTGATCCAGAGAGATGGGAATTCGCAAACGAGGCATTTCTAAAGGGGAGTAAGCATCTTCTAAGGAACATCAAGAGGCGAAAAACGTCTAATTCTCCTACAGAGCACGGTCTCGGTCCTTGTGTCGAATTGGGATTTGATGGAGAAGTTGATCGATTGAGGCGTGACAAGCAAGTATTGATGATGGAACTAGTGAAGCTTAGACAGAATCAACAGAATACTCGAGCTTACATTCGATCTTTGGAGGTAAAGTTACAAGGAACAGAGAGGAAGCAGCAACAAATGATGAATTTTTTAGCAAGAGCTATGCAAAATCCGGAGTTTGTCCAGCAGTTGATCCATCAAAAAGGGAAGAGAATAGAAATTGAAGAGGATATAACTAAAAAAAGGCAACGACCTATTGATCATCAAGGTCCTAGTGCTAGTACATTACATGTTGGAGGATTTAGCCATTTCATAAAATCAGAACCCTTGGAATTCGGAGAGGCTAACGGATTCCAAGTGTCTGAACTTGAAGCACTTGCATTAGAAATACAGGGATTTGGTAGAGCAAGAAAGGATCAACAAGAAGAGTACACGATAGAAGGGCTCGAACAATTTGTCTACACGGATAAAGAACTTGATGAGGGGTTTTGGGAAGAGCTATTTAACGATGAGGATGTGTCTGGAAATGAAGAGGAAGATGTAGATGTCTTGGCAGAGAGGTTAGGGTTCTTGGATTCGAACCCTTAGTAAAAGCCTCAAACTAGTTTTGTCTCATGTGCTTTTTCAAGAACTCATTCATCAGCTGGACCGTTACATCGAAATCTTGTATGAACCTACATTGTGCTATTTACTACTACTACTAGTTAACTTATGTGTCTTGATTCTGTGTAGTGAGTTTTCAAGTATTCAACGACAAATGAAGAAAGCAGCTATATGGATCAACCAGCTACTCGTTGGTAGTTTTTTTCTTTCAGAACAAATATTCTAGTCTCTTTCTGTGTAACTTTAGGCCTTTCTTGTAAACTTTATTTTAATTTCATTGACAGGATAGATTCATGAAGGACTCAAGAGTCAAGTCTGAAAATCCTTGTTGGTTTTTCTGGTTACTATTTATATTTTCAGTTATTGGTTTTCTTTCAATGCTTTTGTTACATCTCTGCCTCTTATTCTTGTTTTTTCTCTTTTCTCTGGATCCAAATGCAGGCATAGGTTATGCACAATTTGATCAAGTCTATGGTCTTTCAAGGTCATTTTGGGTAATAAAAAATGTCAACGGGTGCGTGTTGAATTCTTCAAAAGTAATGTATTTCTGAAGAAACTGATACGAGTGCGGCATCAAAGTAATATTGAAATGTTGTCCTTGCTTGTGTGGTGAATAGATTGTTGTCTTTATGATGAAGACATAGGTAACAAACAGAAATCCCAATTACATCAGAATCAAGATTTCACCACAAGTGGCGGTTTGTAACTACTTTGCTGACAAAGATTTAATTTGTTTGCCATTTAGTGTCCTTGTCTCTATTTGTGAGAAATGAATCATGTCCAATTGTCCATGTTCCATAGAAAAAAAATCTCCTTCTTTTGTTGGCTCTAGAAATGAAAATTTAAATCAAATAAACTAGAAATGGAGATGAAACATATAATTATATTTGAGTCCACTGAATTTAGAGTGTATCCTTAAGAAACTCAATCCATGTTAGTCTTCGAGGTATAGGATTATTTCTCCCAAGATAAATCACATTAACGTAACGGTATTTTAAACTCTAATGTACAGAAAACTCAAAGAATAGCTAAATCAAACTTAGAACTTACTTTGCAATTGTAGGAAATATGCCTGAAAGGAGAGAATATTAGAATTTTCGTAAGTAAAAATATGAGGAAGCGGATAAGTATTTATAGCCAACAAAGAATAATGTAAACATATGCTATTGTGCCTTTTATGAAAAGTCATAACCTATTCAATATGAAAATGTGTTATTCAAATTGCACCCTTTCTCCCGATGCCTTTTCGAAAAAACACCTATTCCTTTTTTCCTTCACACCTTTTAAAAAACTCAATAAAATGACTTTTTTCTAATCTTTCGTACGTAAAAACGAACATCTCTAGTAAAATAATCATAAAACTAAAACAAAATATTGTAAGTATTCCACTTTGTATCAGCTAGCCTACTAGATTTTTCCTTGTATATGTCAATTTGTTTTCAACCTGCCGTACAACATGTTAGGTGTGGGAAAGAATAGGTGTGGACTACAACTGATTCTCACATCACCAAAAATAATTTTTAGCGGCAATTAATTAACAACAATAAATTAATTGTCGTTAAATATGTTCTTTTAGAGGTAATTACCAACTTTCTTATAAATATCCCTAAAGTCTATAGCGACATTGGATCAAATGGTAATTAACTAATGTTAGTAAAATCTTTAGCATTCTTTGTCAATATACATATTTATTATCGTTAAGAATTATTTTTGTTGTAGTATCTCCGCATGACTTAATGATACAGCCAAAGGAAAGGGAAATTTAGGATTTTGGAACCTAATGGCTTTGATATTCTCATACTTAACGACGTGTGTTGCCTCTTTATTACTATTTTTTATGGACAAATCACATTTCATCAATAATTACTCTTCACCACATAGGAAACAAGACAAGATGTGTGGGGTACAATTAGTAGGTTAGAATTTTGTAGTAGTTTGGCAGTACAAGAGATCATTGAATGTCCTAGCTAATGAAGAAATCATAAATGCTATAATTCATATAATTCATGTAGAGGGCCTAGGGCAGGTAACTCATGAGATACCTCTAACTTGCAATATACAAGTTCATTCCAACAATATTAGTTTGAGTCCCTTGTAATACAAACGGGTGATTTTAGGGTTAGGGAGTCAGACTATTCTTAGTTCTCATTCATAATGTTTGTGTTGTGTGAATTCTAGCTAGGAAACAAACGTCGCAGAGGGTTAATTGGGGAGCTCGAATATCGACTGGTAAAAAAGGAGATGGTACCGAGCGGTAGACTCGTAGACATTACTAGTGCAATGATTAGTCTAATCTCTTTTCTTTACGTGAACTTTTTCTAATGTAAACCCGATGTGTTATCTAAGTCTTTGATTTTAACTAGTCCAATGAAACCTCTATTGCAGCAAAAGTAAAAAAATAAAAAGGTATTCGCGATGCACCTTACTTGTCGAAAATAAAAATCCTTACTAGCCGAAGTATAAGACTTTTTTATCGATTGATGAATATAATTTTCCAATCAAGAGGGTTCAATTGGAACCCTCCATCACACATAACCCTTTTATTATCCTTAATCTTTAATTAAAGATTACGAATTTGAATTCTGAGAATGAAGTCAGTTTTTATATCCATAAAAAATTTGATGAACAAGGAGCAAGTATATCAATATACATGTCTTATGTGTTTGGTTCGTTATAGGGAACATGAAGGAGATTCAGTCGATTTAATTGATTGGTATGGTCAAGGATGTACTTCTTCCTTTAGGTCCACTTTGGAATATTGAAAAAATTAACCACAAGAACAAATTCATCTCTGTTTATTTTTTGGTTTATTATCTATTTTACTTTCTTATTCCTATCTTTCTTTTTACTAATTTAGTATATTAATATATTGTTGTAAAAAATGGGATAAGACATGAGAATCTCCTAAATTATGATGAAATTGTAAGTTACACATTTAAACTATTTTAGAGTTTTATTAAAAAAAATTAATTTGATTTTTCTGAATTATTTGCTCCTTTAAATTATGTGAAAATCCTCCTACCCCTAAACTTAATTGTTAAGAATGCATTAATTTTTGTGTTTAATCTTAGGGAAAAGGGTTAAGAATACCCTTCAACTTTGTTTTATTGGTTGACTATTTCTTTACCGTTAAAATGAAGTTATTCTTACTACTGTCGTTACTAATTTCATTATTTGTGCCCCTCAATTGGATGGAAACCCCCAAATCAACTAAAATTACCCAATTTTAACCCGATCTGACTCACTTAATCATATAACACATTTCTTTTACCCAAATCAACTTTGTTTTCCACCACCAACACCTCCACTTAAACACCACCAAAGCCACCATCCTTCTCCAAAATCTCCTCCATGACCGTTGTCGAAACCACCACCTCTATACTCACAGGTAAATTTTGGAAAAGGTTAAAGGCGTAGATTCTTTTCAGTTTAAAAGGCTCCAAACAGGTTAAAGATGGACCGACTTTAAAACCAAATAAAATGGGTAAAATTGTATAAAATAGCAAACTATTAATTCAAATTAAATGTTATAACCACATTTTGATTTAATTGTAACATGTAGCAAACTGTTGCCATTTGCCTCTCTCCCTGAAATTCTCGCTCGCCATTCTTCTCGCTGGCAGTCTCTCCCTCGCCTCTCTCACTTTTATACAAACACAAATGTATAAAATGTGTTTGTGTTTGTATAAAGTGAGAGAAAATTGTATATATACATATATTTTCGTTCGCCTCTCCCCCAGAGAATCTCGCTCGCCACTCTCACTCGCATCTCACTTTATACAATTACAAATGTATAAATTGTGTTTGTGTTTGTTATTTCAAAAAAAAATTGTGTTTGTGTTTGTATAAAGCGAGAGAAAATTGTATATACAAATACATATATTTTCATCATATACACTTATAATTATAAAAATACAGATCTTTCCCTGCCCAGTTTTGCTTTTGTCTTTCTCTCTTTCTCGCTTTATATAAACACAGATTATACAATTGATTCTTTTGTATATCTATACCGAAATAGATTATACAATTGATTCTTTTGTATATGTATACCGAAAAATACATATTAATAGTCATAACAAACATAAAGTTTTCTATGGAACGCAATTATACAAACTATAACTATAGCATACAAATATGATTTTTATGTTTGCTATACCTAAAATTTACTCAATAAAATGACTCCAAAGGCCCACAACAAATTTTTTCAAAAAGAATGCACTGGTCCAACTTTCCTTTCTTAAAACTAACATGATGACAGAATTTTGGCCTAAATAGTTGGCCCATTTCAGATTTTGAATAGCAGACCCAAAAAATACAAGATTCGAAGATATAGGAAAACTTATAGAAATCTCACGAGTTTAGGAGTTAATTACTTAATACACTCTAGTTTGCATATTACGAAGCTTATCAGATTTTGGTGCATTCAGATGCATCTGGATACATGCATTTCAGGATATATGGGTCAAAATAAGGTGTAATTTGTTCTAGATGCACTGTATCCAAGTGGATTCGCATGTATCTGGGATACATAAACAAATTTCGTTTGCCTCGCTCACCTTCCACCCATCTCGCTCGCCACACTCCTATGTATCTGGTATCCCGGATACATGTGAATCACACCAGATACATACAGATAATGTATCTAGTATGATTCACATATATCTGCGATACATGACTATCTCCCTCCCCTTCTAGCTCGACTCTCTCCCCATTTTGGTGTATCTGGTAGTAAAAATATATTTATTTAGGTATATCTTTCTCAATATATGATATGAAACTCTTAATTAATGATAAGATACATAATTATTTGAAAGTATAGGTAGAATTAGTATACATATGGATGTATGTCAAATAGAGTAGTTTTCCCAAAAATATATGTGTAATCATACACAAAGTATACCTTACTTATATTACACTCAATATGTATGTATATATTCTTACACGTGTTATTTTTTAATCCTTGTTTATACTTAATTTTTGTACCCACATTATATTTGCGTTATATACACACATATTACTTTTTACTACATACTATATACTACTATAACTATTTATACCATATCTTATACATATTATCTTCATGTATTTATCTACTACCCTATTTTTTTCTACTTTAATTGTATAAATAAAATCATAAACTTTCATATACTTTAAATATGTAAGTATGTGCATATCGTAAGCACATATATAATATCTTTGTATATCTGGAACTTCTTTTTCTCAAAATTAATTGATGTTCTTCCTATCATCATTTTCTAACAAATAAATGGAAAAAAGATACCCCTAATTATTTTCTAAATATAAATTTAAGGACTATATTGAGATAGAAACTAAGAGATCATTAATATCTTTCTCTCGAATAATCAAAACTCTTACCTAAAATCTCAATGATTTCGCAAATCAAACATAGTTCACTTTTCAAAAAATAAATTTTCAATTTTTTCCTAAAAAAGTTAGGCAACTCATTTCTGAGCCCCTCAGAGTTCGTGCAAAACATCAAACTAAGTCATAAATTACCCTTAGAACCTAATGGATCGGTACAATCAAAATTCAAATTCGAACTCATTAGCCTAAAATGTTGACTTTAGTCAAATTTCTTATTTCCAAAGTTTCAAAACTAAAATTTCTTCTCTGAAATGAACCCCATCACCCCTAGAATCGCGTCACCCATTTCTACAGGTCATAACACAAAAGGCTACGAAAAAAGTCAAACTGGGAAAAAGGGTTCCAAAACACAAAATGTAATCACAATTAGACCATGCAACTCACAATGTAAACTTATATTTAGAAAGCTAAATTA